CTCGTCGAGACATTTTTTAATGTCCAAGAACTCACCTTTTACATGTTTCGGTTGCGAACGCTATCTACCCCAACTCATTTAATAAAGCGTTTTATTTTTTCCTATATCGTTCCTCACTGCCTTTGTGCATCGCCTGTTATATTCACGGTTTTTTTTATCACAGCATTCAAACTCATACGCACATCCATCAAATACGTATTTCGATACAGCGGCACATCTCATGAGTAAGTTATGCTGTTTTTTTAATTTCACAACACCTTAAGGCATGCCGGAAACTTTCCACCAGAATACTACTTGACTCATCTCATCCACTGTACTCTCATCTTAGTCAATGTATCTCCACATCTAGCACTCGCTCTATGTATAAGCATATAGCAGCACGCACCGAAACATAGATCTCTTCCTTAATACTGTACTGACACGGTTTCCCACCAATGCTGATCCTGTGATTGGACCTCTTAAACAAAATCTTTGCCAAATTTCTCTTATTCGTTTTTATCTGCAACGTATTATCATCCGTGTTTTACCATTCAATTTCCACACAAGAGTGATTATGTAATAGATGAATGTTCAGCCCCTTTGGAGGGAATGAAATCCGATTCTTGAATTGACTTGACGTGGGAAAAATTCATGTTGAATGCAAATGAACTCCTCTTAGAAACATGCTCCACGTGTAGGTCACAACAATTGTCATCGAGACCGTGAAGTATTCAGATATACCGTCAGTGATCGTACTAAATAGCCCGCGAAAGTAAAACAATAGATTTTCGCATACCCCTTGACGATTCCTTCATATGATAATTTTATTAAGCCACTCTGAAAATCCGGTTCGTGCGAAGGCCACACAAAATCTCCTAATTTAAGGTCGATTTATGTTTATGCGCTGCGCACCTGAAAAAATATTTGTCTAATTTCTGAAGAACAGACAGAAGAAAACATAGATGAAACACAATCAGAAACAAATGTGACGTTTTGGACAGATCAATCGCTAAAATCAGTACCGGATGTACCCTCAAAGCTACCGAAGAAAAGCTTTCAAAATTAGAAGGATGTGCTGGATATTGTTAGCCGCCTGACCGTTTATCTTCCTGAATAAACCTCGTTGCGTGTTTAGTCCATGGTGGACTTTTGCCTAACCATTCGAATGAAGAAAATCTGGAGAAATTTCTCTCGCCCACCGTTAGGATAGGCTGAGTTGCACTGATTACATAACTAGTCAACCGATCTGTACGAGTGTGCAATTTGCGAAGATGCTAAAGAACATACATATTCAAGAAGCATAAATTGCAATAGAGGGCGTGTTAACATGTCCATACCACCTCAAAGGAGCGTCTGAACAGAAACGCATTCCCCGTTGTATGGTGCATGACCTCTGTTGAATTATCAGTTGCTTTTCCTCTTAGTTGATGCTTGTTGATACCTCAACAAAATTAGCATAATGGTTATCAATTAACATCGAACAAAATGGAGATAGTGGACAACGTGAATTTTTCACTTACTAGGAAATAAGAAGCATTTTCGTCTGCATCCGGTGGAGCTCCATAAACCTCTAACGCATATTCACCCGCAGCCGGTAAGTAGGCAGTAATCGCGACCATGGGGACTGCGGCTGCACCACCTACGGAAACTGATCCTTGACTCATAAGCGAGGTCATCGTTGTGGGTAATGGAGCCTCTGTGTTGCGGATCAACAGACAATCAATCAGAACGGCCGCATCGAACAACAGCGATTTGAGTCGGGCTGTGAGTTTGGGTAGCGGTAATCCCTGGAGAAGGGATAAGCAGATCAGACGAATTGAGTTTTACTGTTTAATCAATGAGAGCCAATAAATCGTGCCTACTAACAAATTAGTAAGTAGTTAGCAACCAAAACAAAAGTTTTCACATTGATCTTACCGGTTCGGACGATGTGAAACGGATTTCAAACACACCAGTAGCACATTTACATTGCGCCTCCAAATTGGGAACAACTGTCTTAATCTTCAGTTCGGTTGCCTTTTCCGTTGGTCCGTAATTTGACTGAGACGTAGGCGGGAATGGGGGTAAATTGATGCTGCCACGGTTCGCGGATTCTCCGTCAACATTTGTCGAGCCAGCCTCGACGCGATATTCACAAATGTCAGTGAACAGCTAGAAACAGATTCGGAGAAAATGTATTTTTTATAATTCTCTCAACTAATTCGAT